CATGATCCCAGGGTCCTGGGATCGAGTCCCGCATCGGGCTCTCTGCTCCTTGGGAGCCTGCTTCTCCCTCTGCCTCTCTCTCTCTGTCTCTCATGAATAAATAAATAAAATCTTTAAAAAAAAAAAAAGAAAACACAGAATGTCACAAAGTTACAGGATCTCACTGGGGTGACAGAAGGGACATTGGGGACTGCTGGGCTCCCCCAGGCGGCTGACCAAGGAGGAGCTGCCTGAGGTCAGCCAGATGACAGTGCAAGAGAAGACAAGCTCTGCCTTCACAGGAGGAGGGTCTGGCTTTCAGAGGATAAGAGAATCCCCTGGGAAAATGAGGCATGTGGGGATATTTCTGCAGAGTGCTCATCCTGCAAAAAAGCAGACTCAAAGGGCAGGACGTCGTATGGTGCCTCGGAGAACACCTACCATGGGAGCATCCTGAAAGCACCATTTACTGGGTGCTCATGCTGGCCAGGACTTCACAGCACCACTCTACCCATTTTACAGAGGAAGACAGAGGCTCAGAGAGGAGAAGGGGCTTGTCTAGGTCACACAGCCAGGAGGGACAGAGCTGGGACTCAAGTCTAGGCTGCTGACCTCAGGGTCTGTCCCTGGTCCCTCCCTACAATTTCCCTTCCTCCAACATCTCAGTCCCATGCCAAGGGCCAGGGACTTCTCCAAACATTCTCAGTTAATTACCAAACAGGTGAGATCCCAGCCTTGGTCTTAATACTCACACCTGGCCCAGGCTCTGACCCCCTGGGTCCAGCCAGGCCACACCGACAGCTGGAAGCCCTGTCAGCGGGGATGGCGGTGGGGGTCAGAGCAGAGCATGGCCATGCCTCCCCACCCGGACCTGCCCTCCGTTCTAAGGGCTTTGACCTTGATGACTTGGGAGCTGCCAAGCTGGAGGATGCCATCCTTCGGGAATGCCATCTCCTGAGAGGTGGTGGGAGCTGTCTTCTGGTCTCCACTGCTCCAGACGGGAGCCCCATCCACGTTGGCCTGGGAAAGCTGCTCGGGGGCCTGCACCTCCACCTTTGGAGTTTCCCTCGCTGGCCAGGGGTGGGAGTGGGCAAGGGTGAGGGCAGGGCAAAAGTGGGCTTGGGGTCTAGGATGGGACAGGCAAGAGTCAGGGCAGGGTCATTGGTAGTCAGGGTCAGGCCTATGCCCATCTGGGGACGGGAGTCTGAGGGGGTCTGGGGTAGGGGGACATTACAGGGCTGTGGCTGGGGTTAGAGGTGGGTTTAAGGGAAGATCTGGGGTGGGGTGCGTTCGGGGATATGGGCGTGGTTTCAGCTGAGGCTGTGGTTGGGGTGGCAGTGGGCCTGCTGTGGTGGCCCTCGGGGGCTCACCTCTCTGGCGTATCAGGAGCTGGTAGAGGTGGCCTACCCCTTCCAGGCTGGACTGCTGGGTGGCCCTGTCCGGGTCCTGGCACAAAATCCCCAGCATGCCCACCAGCTGCCCAATCCGCCTGAAGTCCTCTTTTGGCTGTGGTGAGAATATGGGAACCAGTGACCCCACCGCAAATCTCTGGCCTGCTGCGCAATCACAGCAGCAAGGCCGGCATCAGAAATCCTCCGACTGTGTGGCAGGGCTGCGACTCAGCTCTCAGGACCCCGGGCCCAGGCTCTGCCCACCCTGCCCGGACCCTACAGTCAGCATCCCAGGGCACACTGGGCAAAACGTAAGGGGTTGCCCAAGACTCAATAATCAAGAGAAATTATATTTTAACGCAATATTTAGAAAAATCAAACTGAAGGTAACAATTCCTGATGAACACAGTTTCAAAACTGTAAATAAAGATGGTCCGTCCCTGCACTTCCATGACCTTACCTCATCTTGCCTCACTCCCCGGGCCCTGACCCTAGTCGTGGTTTCAATAAAACTTTATTTACAACAATAGGCAGCCGGCCGGTGGCCATTTGCTGAGTGGATTGTTTTAAAACATTACATTACAGTATTTATCTTGACTGCGGAATGTTCTGGAGCCTGGTAAATTTTGCGCCCCAGGTGAATGCCTCGCTGCCTGACGGCAAGCCTGGTCCTGTATTGTGGAAATTGATTTTGAGTAAATTGCAGGCCCTTTGAGCCCCTCTAGAGGGGTCTTCCTCGTCCTGGGAATGCCGGAGGAGTCTGTGCAGGGAGCTCTCCCTTGGCAGAGCACCACCCCTGCCTGTCCGCCTCCCTTAGAAAGGCTTGCACCTGCCGGGCATCAGGCAGAGAAGCTAATTTTCTCATGGCCCCGTAAGTCTCCCCAAGGAATGAGTGCTGATTTTGGCAGATAAACGCAGAAGCGCTCACTCCCTGAACGTGCTGACATTCATTCAACCCAAGGGTTATAGCGACAGATGGCAGTTAGGCTGCGAAGCCTGACACGCTGGGGGTCAGGACGCATGCAGGGTCGTGATGGATGGAGGCGTTCCTGCGGTCACCGCTGACCCTGGACTGGGGCAGGTAGCACCTCTTCTGATTCCCAGTGTATCCCTCTGAGGAGGACTCATTTCCTCCCTTTTCATGGGCGAGAAACTGAGGCTCAGGGCGTGGAAGAACCTGCCCAAAACTTCAAGGAGCGTTGACAGGAGCCCAGCCTCCTGGGTCAGGGGTCCATGCATCTGGGTTCAGAGCCCAGCGGGGAGGACTTGAGCAGGGGGCCCCAACCTCCGCCCCCAGCCTGTTCCCTTGCTTGTAAAAAGGGGGATTACATGGCCGTGTTGTAGGGCACTCAGGGATCCACCCGTCCTGGGGGCAGAGGTCCAGGGGGCCTTGAGCCCCACGAGCCTGTCAGGCTCCAGGAGGAGGACGGCTTGGCTGGGGCAGCAGAGGGGGTGTGGGGCCAGAGGGCTGGATACTCACATCCAGGTAGGGGTTGTGGCTCAGGAATCTGAGAAGGGCCATGCAGCTGTGCACAGCCCGCTGCCGCTCGTGTGCCTTCTCCGACACCAGCCAGAGGTACAGGTGCTGCGGGTGGGCAGGGGTGGGGAGGGGGTGCTGCAGCCGCGCACCCCTGCTCGGGCCAGTTCCCCTGGGCCACCCGGACATCCGCGCAGCGCGCCGGGCTTGGCTCAGGCCCCGCCCCCGTGGCCGGTCCGCTGGCAATCAAGGCCCCGCCTTGCCATCTCCTGAGAGGTGGTGGGAGCTGTCTTCTGGTCTCCGCGGCTCCAGACGGGAGCCCCAGCTCAGGCTCTGCCCACCTTCGACTCAGGCCCCACCCCCTGGGCGTCCACCACGCCCCCTGTCCTGCCCTCCGCGTCCCTTCGCACTGCCTGGGCTGATCCTGTGCTCCTGGCAACCCCGCTCTGGAGGAGGAGGAGGGATTCCCTGCTCAAAGCCCTTCGAGGCCCCTGGTTTTTAACCCCCTTGGCGCCATGCACCCCTTTTCAAAGTAGTGCTTTTCTGTGCACAACATAAACGCACGAAATTACAAAGGGATACCAACACATACTGAAACAGTTATACTGAACAGTTTTAAGCCCAACTCGAGCCTCTTTGTTAAAGCGATAGATGATTACATTTAGTGATTCTGAAGGCGGAAGCAGTAAACGGTATTTGGAGATTCTGGGGCCCAGCAATGTCCTATGACCACATCTGTGACTTCCGCTGGTGGCAGACGCAGCCACTCCCGGCCCTGCTGTGGTTTGTCACCAACATTCCCAGTGGGAATGAGTGAGTGAAAATGCAGATATCTCCCCCCAGCCAGGCTCACACCTCGACTTCCATCTGTGCACCTGCTTCAGCGGCTCCCCTCACCCCCACAAGGCCTCTAGGCTGGACAAGATCTGGTCCTGCTGACCTGACCCAACCCTAGCCCACCTGGCCCCCACCTTAGCACCCTCCCCATGCTCTGGCCGCGCAGAGCTCTCTCCATTCTGGCCCCTGTGCTCACCAGGCGTCTCACCTTTGACCCTGCCACACCCTCTGCCCGCTCTGCCCTTCCCTTCCTTTCTCCATCAAGTGACCTCCACTGGCCCTGACCTCCGACCCTCCCAGCAGAGCCAGTGTTCCCTCTCTGGTTCCTCCCCTGCCCCTGGACTGTCCCTGCCTGTTGACTGGTCTCCCTCCTATCAAGGTGAGAGCCCTGGAGGGCAGTGAGAGAGTGGGGGTGTCGGGTTGTGAGCCCCTCCTCACAGCTGGAGACATGGCTGCAGAGTGAGTTCTCTGGGAGGGAGGGCAGGTCCCAGCCAGGGTCAGGGCCTGTGTCCTCATCTGTTTCCTTGAAGTGTGGCGCTCAGGGCCCACTTACCACCATACGCACCTGCTGTACCACCCTCCAGTTGTCCCAAGCCACTGCAATCCCTGAAGATGGACAGCCCTCAAGCCTCTGTGTTCCTGGACCACTCCCCACCCCAAGTTCAGGCCCTGCCTCCTCTGGGCCATCTTTCCTTTGTCCATCCTCCGCCCTCCTGGGCCTCCCCCACCCCCGCACTGTGGGGCAGCTAGCTCTCACCGACAGCAAGAAGTGCAGCTCGTCGGCCGTGGGGTTCTGTATGATGAAGCTCTGCAGCATCTGGTCCAGGGCCTCCGAGGTCTTGTTGTAGAGGGTCTGTGCAGGGATGCGGAGCAGGTCAGGCAGCCGCCGAGCCCCAGCTGCGACGGAGTGCCAAGGCCTGTCGCAGGGCCTGAGTGCCCTGGTCTCTCAGTGAGAGCAGCACCCATTCGTGCACATTCCCAAGGCCAGAACTGGGCAGGGGGCAGTCTGGGTCAGACCTGCCCAAGGTCACAGGTTTCTCAGCAGCCAAGGGAAGTTCATTGCCAGCAGGGCTGCCTTCTCGGGCCTGCAGCCTGCCGAAGACCTGGTGCCCAGAAGGATCTACTTGGTTTAATGCTTTGTGGTCCCTCCCATCTTGAAATTCTTCATCAGCTTTGAACAAGGGCCTGGCATTTTCATTATGCATTAGTTGTGGCAAATTATGCAGCTGGTCCTGACTATCGGGTCTCATGTGAGACCCCCAATCTTTGCTGCTTGGCTCCCCAGGCATGCTCAGGGAGGGAGGGGGCCATAGAAAGTACCCAGCCCACCTCCCTGTCAGAGTGTGTTGGAGCAAAGCCCTGGGCACTGGCCGTCAACTCCCTGGGTGCCCTGGGGACCTCGCTTCAGCTCTCTGTGTCTACCTTGGTCACCTGAGACGCGCGCGTGAAGCCAGCCCCACCTGCCGGGGTGCACACTGAACGGGAATGAACAGGAGCCCCAGCCTGGTGTCTGGCACCAGGCTAAGCTCCCTAGGTGAGCCAGCAATGATGCTGTCATCTGGTAATGGGGGCGCTCTGGACTCCTGCGGGGTGGGGGTGGGGGCAGGAGCCAGCCTTCCGGGGGGTGCTGCTGTGGTGTTGCCCTGGGCCCAGGGGACCCTTTGCACTCTCACCCCCCACCCGAAGTGCTTATCTGCCCCATTCCAGTCTGGACCCAGCCTAGGGGTGTGGTGTGAAGATCAGGGTCCAAGGGGCAGGGGTGGAGTTCAACCCTGACTCTGCCACCAGACAGCTCCATTTCTCTGAGCTGGTTTCCTCACCCTCCGGACGAGTGCTGCTGGGAGGGTGAGCGAACATATACATGGGACCTGGCACACAGCAGATGCTCAGTTAACTCTAGCCCTGTGCCCTTCACAGTGAACACTTAGGCGTCAGGGGCTGGTGGTGCTCCGGGGAGATGGGTACGTGCCCCCTGCAGCAGAGGCTTTTATTAACAGATCCCCGGAGGGGGCTGGTATCTGGCCCAGCCAAGGGTGGGCCGGCTAGGGCCTGGGTGGGTGTGACTAGTTTAAGCAGCTTCGCAGGTGCGACTGAGTCCAGGGCTGCTCTCAGGGCCGGCAGGGACAAAGGCCACTCACACTCCTGTTCACAGAGCACCGTCTGCACAGACACGGGACACCAGTGTCTACTTTCATCCCAAGCTTCATGCACCATCAGCTCCACAGTTATCACCCCCATGTCCCAGGTGGGCAAATAGAGGCTCAGAGCGGTTAAGAAACGTGCCCAGGGTCTCCCTGCCCTGTCCATAGGGGTCAAGGGCCCTGGCTGTCTAGCCCACATCCCCTCCCAAGCCACGAGCAGCAGCGGGCTGAGCTGGGCCCCTCTCGCTGAAGGGCACCATGCGCCAGCTTTGCACCTGTACGTTGGGCGGTTCTAGAAAGAGACAGGTGTGTTTCTCCAGGACGTCTAGCTGTGGCAGGGCCAACACGCTGTGGAGGCAGACGGACAGAATCCGTGACTTCCTCTCCAAGTCCAGGGGCGGCCGCAGCTTACTGTTTGGAGATAGAGGGCAGTGAGGGAGGGGTGTGGGGGCTGGTGACGGCAAAGGGCCACCTGCCGGAATAGACAGTCAGCGAGCCCTGAGCTGCAGCCCCTCCCGCAGTTCTGCTCTTGACCAGAGACTCAAGGGAACACTTCTGCCTCCCGGGCCTGCAGGGCCTCCTGGGCGGGTGAGTCCACGAGCGCGTGTGCGGGACTCCAGCGTGGCCTGCTTGGGAGTAGTCGCTTCACAAGCCCTGTACCCCGGGCTCCCCTTTACTGGACACACTGGTCTCACCCCAGCCCTGGTTACACCACTGGGAACTTCAGCGGCTCGGTTTTGACAAATGATGACAAATTTTTGTTCTTTGAGGTGTGAGTTAATAGCAGTGACCACAGTTTACTGAGGGCCTGTTACGGGCCTGCAGCAGGGTAAGGCCCTGTGTGGGGCTGGGGAGCCTACCAGAGGCCGGACACGATGTGAATGGTCTGCTGGCGAGTTGACGTGCACAGCGTGTCCTGGGGTTCCTTCTCCACCAACACCTGCAGATCCCCAGGTGAACCTGAGGCATTCAGCCCGGGCCTACCCCACTTCTGATACCCCGTGTCGTCCTGCCTGAAGACCTCGGTGCCTGGCACTCCCGCGACCCACAGGATTGTGCTCCAGCTTCTCCCCCAACCCGTGGGGGCCTCCGTGACCTGAACTAGATCACAGCCTTTAGAAGGGCCCAGGTCATGGCTTCCCGCATACTGGCTGCGTGACCTTGAGCATGTCCCCAAACTGCTCCAAGCCTTGTGGTTCACAAATAACGTAGTGTTGTTGCACCTGCAGGGGGTGCAGAGTGCGGTGTCTGAGTCAGGAGGAGCTCAGTAAATTGTTATTTTATTATTACGGTTCTGACTGTCCATCACTTGAGTGCTTCCTCCACTACTCCGGGGTTCTGTGAGCCCCACATCTCTAGTGAGCCGTGGTCTGAGCTAGGGCAGAGTATTAGCAGAGCGGATGGTGCTGGCTTTCTGGGCCTCAGCTACATGAGCTGTGAGGTGGACATCCCTGGCCAGCTCAGGGTCACTGAAGAGCCAAGAGAAGTGGGGGGCATGGATGTGCTCCCAGCTGCCAGAGCCTATGAGGGGCTTAGCCACACCCCAGAAATCCAACTTCCCCACCTGCCTCTAGTGGATGTTACGGGTCCCGTGAGGCCCTCTCTCTGCCCCAGGGCCTTGACTCACCATCAGACACTCGAGGAGCTCAGAGATCTGGGAGAACTCGTAGCTGTGGGCCCCCTCATTGTGGCTGATGGCCTCCACCAGCATGAGGACAGCAGTGAGGAAGCTCTCCTTCAGGGTCTTGTCCTGGGATGGGGTCAGGCCGTGGAAGGGGGGGTGCAGGGGGGGCACAGGAAGGGCAGGAGAGAGCCACAGTCACATGTGCCTCAGGGCATTGCTGAGGGGGTACAGCAGAGACCTCGTCTGGGGCCACATATGTGGGGCTTTGGTGGGGGGGAGCCTGTGTGGTTTTGTTTAAATTGTGAATATGTTGACAACATTTCAACATCAGGAGAGTGTTGTAAGAAGCCCAATATCTGGCTTCTCCCTTGATGTGTGGCACCTCAGAGCCCAAAGATCTGGGGTAGGTGGTGGCATCACAGGGCTGCCTGGCCCTCGTGGCTCCCTTGGGTGGATGCCCCAGGTACAGAGTATAGAGGAAGGGGAATGTCGTCCCAGGGGTGGGGTGGGGAGTTTCCTGGCCTTCCAATGCCCCAAAGTGCAAACCGCGGAGAATGAGGGCCTGGGGTCATCATGGAAGCCCTGTGGCTGTAGGGGGGATGATGGGGTGAGTAGGTGGGGCAACAGGGAGGCCAGGCCTGGCTCTTCCTGACTCCAGAGTGGGGCAGAAGTGGGGAGGAGGGCTCCAAGGCCTTGGAAGGTCCTAGAATTCTCTGACCCAGGTCCTGGTAGGGCCTGGGGTGTGATGAGGCTGCGCTCCAGGGGGGTGGCCCCGGGGAGCCGTACCCAGGAGCTATAGTGGAAATAGAAGACCATCCGAGACAAGATGTTGTCCACCCACGGGAGGATGTGCGCCTTGGCCCTGACCGCCATCTGACCGTAGGCGAGGAGGATGGTGCTGCTGGCCCACTTCCATTGCAGGTCCTCTGAATTCTGACCACAGTGGGGGCAGATATGGAGTGTCAGGGCCCTCCTGACCCCTCCCCTGGGGGAGCGGTGACAGGAAGTACTCTGGACCCTAGCACGGTACTGCAGGCACGGTGTCCTGAGTGGTGGCACGACTCAGTTTACCTCAGTAGGAAAATAGGGAAGATGAAGTTGTCTCTCTGGGGGGTTGGAATGGGCCTGTGGGGTTACTCAGAACTGGCCAGAGTCCTAGCCCCTCACCCTCCCTGCCTTGTGGTAGCCCCCTCCCCGGGAGCCTGGGGCCCTTCTCCCCCCTGCTTCCCCCCTTGGGCTACTGGGGGCCTGGCAGGGCCATGCCTCAACCTAGAGATATGGGAATGGGGCACTCCTTCAGATCCGAGGGAGACCCAGAGAGTGGGGGTGGGGGGCATCCAAGATACCCCTCAGATGCCACCTGAGGACCACATGGCTCCACTGCCCATCAGGGACCAGGCTCCCTCTGAGGGTTTGAGATGTGGGTCCCCGTCCCTGCTCTGCCACCTGCCGGCTGTGGGACCCCGAGGCGGCGGCCAGCCCTTTGCTGGGCTGACTGTTGCCGGCTGTGCCCCGCTTGTCCTAGAGGGCTCCCTCGTGCAGTCCTGCTGCTGCCCGCAGGAGTGATCCGGGGACGACAGGTCGTCCATCAGCAGGGGCACAGGCTCTTGTCTGTCGTTTCAGGCAGGGCACGTGGCCAGAGACCCATTAATAAACAAAGCCACTGCCACAGCCAGCCCCTGAGAGAGCTGTCACCTGAGTACCTGCCAGGCTCGTCAAAGCCATGGCCTGTTTCCATCCCAACAGCCTGGGGGTGGGGATTGTTTTTCAGGAAGAGAAACTGAGGCATGAGGGGCACACTGCAGGTGGGACTGGAGGCCAGGATGCTTGCTGCAAAGCCTATGCCCCTAACTCTCCCAGGAGACCCTCTTGGAGGCCCAGACCTTCATGGAGGGTGGGAGTCCTGATGTTCCAGCCCCTTGCTGAGGCCCCCAACAACCCAAGGGCCAGAACCTTCAGGCAGAAGCTGTGGAGGCTCCATCTAATGGGCATGCTCCGGCCAAACTCCTCCAGGACAGCCCAGACGTGGTCCAGGTGGCGCACTGCGGCCAGCCCTATGGTGAGCGCGATACCCTACAGGTGCAGGGGAGTGGGGTCACCCATGCGGGTCACAGAACCAGGCCTGGACTCTCACCTGGGGGTGTGGAATTGAGGCCCAGAAAGGGAACGGACTTGTCCAGGGTCACAGGGCATCTGCCTCCCATCCCTATGCTCTTTAGGACATGCAACTCTGAGCCCAACCCTGGGGAGGCATCTCTTATGGGGCTGGTGGATGGTGTGGGAGGCAGCAGGGAGGGGTGAATCCCTGGAGACCTGTTACCTCCCTCTGCCCCCACTAGCTCTGAGCAGACCTGGGCCAGAGGAAGAAATGAGGGTCCAGAAAATAGATGTGGGACAAAGGAGAGGACACAAACTTTGATGGGCTCAGAGTGTGATGAGGGTCAGGGCTTAGTGTGTGATTGGGATCAGGACCCAGAGTGTGGCCAGGATCAGGGCTCAGAGTGTGACCAGGATCAGGGCTCAGTGTGTGACCAGGGTCAGGGCTCAGAGTATAACCAGGATCAGGGCTCAGGGTATGACCAGGGATCAGGGCTCAGAGTGTGACCGGGTTCAGGGGTTAGGGGGTGACCAGGGTCAGGGCTCAGGGTATGACCAG